CAGAGAGGTCTGCAGATGACACCATAGAAAAAAAAAATACCAGGCTTATAAGATCTTTTCAATATCAAGGCAATAAACCCCATCTGATGAGCAAATAGTAGCAATGGTAACCTTAAATACCCCCCAGCCATGGTGAGGCCACTGATCAGAGCCTTGTCCCCCTGAGCTGGGAACAAGGACATCCCATCAGCTGCCTCCTGATCTGTCACCCCAATGTAGTGCTGGTGGTCTGGAGGAGCCTCCATCCCCCATGTGATGGCACAGCTGTCATTATGTCACCAGCTCACCTGTGACATCCCCATAGTGACACTCAGCCATATTGAGCCGCCTGCCCCAGGTGTCATCCACCCCATACCGACAACAGAGGGAGAGGGGAGGGGGCCCTGTACACACACACTATGGGTTGGGGGGGGTCTATGGGGATTACCTAGTCGTCTGTCCAGCCTGCTGGTCCCGGTCATTGACGGCCGCCGTGTAGATCTGCCGGTAGCGCTCAGCCAGGGCCTTGCCGGAGAGCAGCAGCTGGTAGCGGCCCCTGCAGTCAGACTGCGGAGCCGGAGAGACGTCGGGGCCCCCGGAGACATTGATGGGCGCCATGCAGGAAGCCGGGGGCACCGGGAACAAGCCGTGTCCGCCAGGTCCGGAGGTGGCGGCCGGAGGAGGTGGGGGTGGAGGAGGGGGGGCGGTAGCTGCGCACATCATCTTCCTCGGTGCTCGGATCAGGCGGGGTGTGTGTGGCAGTCCAGAGTCAGCATGGAGCACTCCCGGGAATGAGGAGGATGAGGATGGTGGATCCGTCTCCTCCCTCGTACACCCGGAATCACCGCAATCCCCGCCCCGAGCCTCTCACCATCGTCCCCGTACACACACACACCACTGGCCTGGCCTCTCCCAGGACGACCGTCCGAGCCCCCGACACAGTCTATACAGCCCGCCGCCTTCACCGCCGGCCCCGAAAGCTCACTGCTGCCATCTTAGTTCATTCTCTCCGCTCGGCTATATCTCCACTCCGGGCGTCTCATCAACCCGCACCCGGAGCATGCTGGGAGGGAGCGCACACTCTGCTCTGGCCGCTTCCTCCTAGCGACACACTGCACCCTGCTGGACAGACACCGCAACTACCATACACCACTCTGTGTGTGTCATCGTCATATACTGTATATACTACTACATCCTGTATATACAATGTATGATCATCATTACTACTACTACACACTGCACCCTGCAGGGTATACAGTGTTTTGTGTGTCGTCATCATATAATGTATATACTACTACATACCATATATACAATGTATGATCATCATTACTACTACACACTGCACCCTGCAGGGTATACAGTGTTTGTGTGTGTCATCATATGATGTATATACTACTACATACCATATATACAATGTATGATCATCATTACTACTACACACTGCACCCTGCAGGGTATACAGTGTTTGTGTGTCGTCATCATATAATGTATATACTACTACATACCATATATACAATGTATGATCATCATTACTACTACACACTGCACCCTGCAGGGTATACAGTGTTTGTGTGTGTCATCATATGATGTATATACTACTACATACCATATATACAATGTATGATCATCATTACTACTACACACTGCACCCTGCAGGGTATACAGTGTTTGTGTGTCGTCATCATATGATGTATATACTACTACATACCATATATACAATGTATGATCATCATTACACTACACACTGCACCCTGCAGGGTATACAGTGTTTTGTGTGTCGTCATCATATGATGTATATATACTACATACCATATATACAATGTGTGATGTCATTACTACTACACACTGCACCCTGCAGGGTATACATGTTTGTGTGTGTCATCATATGATGTATATACTACTACATACCATATATACAATGTATGATCATCACTACTACTACACAATGCACCCTGCAGAGTATACAGTGTTTTGTGTGTGTCATCATATAATGTATATACTACTACATACCATATATACAATGTATGATCACCACTACATACTGCACCCTGCAGAGTATACAGTGTTTGTGTGTGTCATCATCATATACTGTATATACTACTACATCCTGTATATACAATGTATGATCATCACTACAATACCCTGCACCCTGCAGGGTATACAGCCACTACTATACAGTGTGTGTCATCATCGTCCTTTAGATTGTAAGCTCCACGAGCAGGGCCCTCATATTCCTTCTGTTTTGAAATGTACTGTAATTGTACTGTTTCCCTTATATTGTAAAGTTCTGCACAAACTGTTGGCGCTATATAAATCCTGTGTAATAATAAACTGTATATAATACTACATCTTATATATACAATGTATGATCGCCATTACTACTACACACTGCACTCTGCAGGATATACAGTATACAGTGTTTGTGTGTGTCATCATTATATACTGTATATACTACTGCATGCCCAATATACATTGTATGATCATCACCACTATATACTGCACCCTGCAGGGTATACAGCCACTATTATACAGTGTGTGTCATCATCATATAATGTATATACCACTACATCCTATATATACAATGTATGATCATCACTACAACACACTGCACCCTGCAGGATATACAGTATACAACCAATACTGTGTGTGTGTCATCATATATTGTATATGCTACTATCACCATTACTACTACACACTACCATGCTGGACATCACTGCTGTACACTCTACGTGTGACATCATATACTGTATACAGTACACACTACAACATCCTATATATAAATACAATGTGTGATCATCTCTACACAACACACTGCACCCTGCAGGAGAGACACAGCCACTACCATAGACTGTGTATGTGTCATCATAAACTGTATATACTACAACATCCTAATATATATAATATGTGTCATCATACAGTGTGTGACCAAAATTATTCAACCCCCACTGAAATTGAGTGTTTTGGCCAGTTTGACATTGCTTTTGATCATTCAGTCATCTTGCTTACATTTACATTAAAGAGGCACTTGTAGGTCAGACAAATATAACATAACAGTTATAATGAAATAACCACAAATGTCTTTTCTGTGCTCACAGCATTATCAGTTTTATTCAACCCCCAAGTGACATTCAATCTTAGTACTTAGTACAGCATCCTTTTACAGTTATAACAGCTTTTAAACGTGAAGCATAGCTTGACACAAGTGTCTTGCAGCGATCTACGGGTATCTTCGCCCATTCTTCATGGGCAAAGGCCTCCAGTTCAGTCACATTCTTAGGCTTGCGCACTGCAACTGCTTTCTTTAAGTCCCACCAGAGGTTCTCAATCGGATTTAAGTCTGGTGACTGCGATGGCCACTCCAAAAATGTTCCAGCCTTTCCTCTGCAACCATGCTCTAGTGGACTTGGAGGTATGCTTGGGATCATTGTCCTGTTGAAAGGTCCAACGTCTCCCAAGCCTCAGGTGTGTGACGGACTGCATCACGTTTCCATCCAATATCTCCTGGTACTGAAGAGAATTCATGGTACCTTGCACACGCTGAAGCTTCCCTGTACCTGCAGAAGCAAAACAGCCCCAAAGCATGATTGACCCTCCACCATGCTTCACAGTAGGCAAGGTGTTCTTTTCATCATAGGCCTTGTTCTTCCTCCTCCAAACATAGCGTTGATCCATGGGCCCAAACAGTTCTAATTTTGTTTCATCAGTCCACAGAACACTATCCCACAACTTTTGTGGTTTGTCCACATGGCTTTTGGCATACTGCAGTCGACTCTTCTTATTCTTTGGAGACAGCAAGGGGGTACGCCTGGGAGTTCTGGCACGGAGGCCTTCATTACGCAGTGTGCGTCTTATTGTCTGGGCTGAAACTTCTGTACCCACATCTGACAAATCTTTTCTCAGTTCCTCAGCAGTCACACGGGGACTTCTCTCCACTCTACGCTTCAGGTAGCGCACAGCAGTCGAAGTCAGCATCTTCTTTCTGCCACGACCAGGTAGCGTTTCAACAGTGCCCTTTGCCTTGAATTTGCGAATGATGCTTCCTAAGGTGTTCTCTTGGTATGTTTAACATCTTTGCAATCTTCTTATAGCCATTGCCCTTCCTGTGAAGAGAAATCACCTCTTCTCTTGTCTTCCTGGACCATTCTCTTGCCTTCACCATGTTTGTAACCACACCAGTAAATGTCTAGAAGGAGCTGAGTATCACAGTCATTTTAAAGCTGCCTAATTGGTGCTTATTATGCTTGATTGCTGCTCGGTGACATCCACAGGTGTTTTCAATACCTGATGGAAAGCACCTGTATGAACCTCTGTTCTTCAGAGTGGTAGTCTTTAAGGGGTTGAATAATTGTGGCAATGAAGAAACCACATAAGAACCATTTACTACTGTATTACATAAACAATTGATGTCATTTTAGTTGCATTTGGGTAGTTACAACGTCCTTGTAGGATTTGATTCTGAATACAATTCCAAATGTACACTATAGTCCCTAAACCCCTTTACAGCATTGGGGGTTGAATAATTTTGGACACAACTGTATACTAGAACACACTGCACACTGCACCTTGCAGTACAAACACTGCAGTATACACTTGACAACATACCGTGTGCACCCTGCATGTGACATCATCAGATACAGTATATATAAAATGTATGATCAGACAAACACTGCACTGCTCACAACACACATTCAACACCTTCACCCTGCAGGATATACACAGCAACTACCATACACTGTGTTGTCATCATGAGATGTACACTACAACACCCTATATCAGTGATGGCGAACCTTTTTGAGCCCGAGTGCCCAAACTGCAACCCAAAACCAACTTATTTCTTTCAAAGTGCCAACACTGCAATGAAACCTGAATATCGAGCTTTTGGTTTAGAAAAAACAACTCGTACAGTAGTGCAAACTAATTAACAGTACAGGGATGACCAGAGACTGCGGACACAGTACAGGGATGACCAGAGACTGCGGACACAGTACAGGGATGACCAGAGACTGCAGACACAGTACAGGGATGACCAGAGACTGCAGACACAGTACAGGGATGACCAGAGACTGCGGACACAGTACAGGGATGACCAAGAGACTGCGGACACAGTACAGGGATGACCAGAGACTGCGGACACAGTACAGGAGATGACCAGAGACTGCGGACATAGTACAGGAGATGACCAGAGACTGCGGACACGGTACAGGGATGACCAGAGACTGCAGACACGGTACAGGGATGACCAGAGACTGCAGACATAGTACAGGGGATGACCAGAGACTGCAGACACAGTACAGGGATGACCAGAGACTGCAGACACAGTAGAGGGATGACCAGAGACTGCGGACACAGTACAGGGATGACCAGAGACTGCGGACACAGTACAGGGATGACCAGAGACTGCGGACACAGTACAGGGATGACCAGAGACTGCGGACACAGTACAGGGATGACCAGAGACTGCAGACACAGTACAGGAGATGACCAGAGACTGCGGACACAGTACAGGAGATGACCAGAGACTGCAGACACAGTACAGGAGATGACCAGAGACTGCGGACAGTACAGGGGATGACCAGAGACTGCGGACAGTAGAGGGATGACCAGAGACTGCGGACACAGTACAGGGATGACCAGAGACTGCGGACAGTACAGGGATGACCAGAGACTGCGGACAGTACAGGAGATGACCAGAGACTGCGGAAAGCACAGGGATGACCAGAGACTGCGGACAGTACAGATGACTGCTGACCTTTGGGAGGGAGGGGGAGCGGGTACCTGAATTTGACAGGTACCCGCTCTTACTTCCGCAGAGTTTTTTTTTTTTTCTTACCTGTTTCCTTTATCCAGCCGCGCACTGTCTTCCCGCTTCTGTAGTGTGGTGCGGCGCTCGTCGGACATGCCCAGTGCGCATAGCGCGAGAAGTGCTGCGCTTTGTGATTGGTCCGGCGGCTTCTGTGGATCTTTCATGTGTCCCAGGTACTGCTTGATTGCTGCTCGGTGACATCCACAGGTGTTTTCAATACCTGATGGAAAGCACCTGTATGAACCTCTGTTCTTCAGAGTGGTAGTCTTTAAGGGGTTGAATAATTGTGGCAATGAAGAAACCACATAAGAACCATTTACTACTGTATTACATAAACAATTGATGTCATTTTAGTTGCATTTGGGTAAGTTACAACGTCCTTGTAGGATTTGATTCTGAATACAATTCCAAATGTACACTATAGTCCCTAAAACCCCTTTACAGCATTGGGGGTTGAATAATTTTGTGTCACAACTGTAAATATACAATGACAGATCATACACACTACACCCTGAAGAACTATATTGTATAATACACAGCCCACTACTAGAATTATGATCAATAATACAACATCCTACATATGCAATGTATGATCATTATCACTACAACACACTGCTCCTTCTATATATACAGTTGACAGAATCATACAAACACACTACAATCTGTGCCATTTTTCCCATACACAGCTAATACAGATTAATGTATGATCATCACTACAGCACACTGCTCCAATAACAGCACATACACACTGAACCCTGCAGGACTCCACCATGCACATCCACTAAAGATCAATGTATGATCATCAATACAACACACTGTTACTAGTATTTGGGCCCAGATTTGTTTTATTACAGGTAAATTACACAGAAAGAGGTAGTAAGGATTGCATGTTAACACTAGTGATGGGCAGAACACCCCCCTGTTTCGGTTCGCAGTCAAACATTCGAACATACCCAAACGTTTTCTGACAATTTACTGAGTGGTATCTTACCACATCTGAGTATGAGGTAGGATACCACTCAGTTTACTAAAATACCGCATGAACAGGGACGGACTGACAACTCATGGGACCCCCGGGCAATAATGGATCATGGGGCCCCTGTGTCCTTGCCCAAACTCAAAATAGCCTATGAAAAAGGTACCATGGGGCATCTCATGGGGCCCCCTACTGACCCTGGGCCCTCGGGCAGTGCCTGAGTTTCCAAATAGTCAGTCCGCCCCTGCGCATGAGTTTTATTGTTAAGTTCACGCAGTATTTAAGTAGTGAAAACATTCATTCGTGTTTCAGCTGTCAGTGGGGTTCCTGCTGACAGCCGAATGTCAAAAGAATTGTCTGGCATTGCCTGACAATTAAACATTTTTTTTTGTAATGCGTGGGGGTCCCCCCCAAAATACAAACAAGACCCCTATCCGAGCATGCAGCCTGGCAGGCCAGGAAAGGGGGAACGACAAGCGAGCGCCCCCCCCGAACCATACCAGGCCACCTGCCCTCAACATGGGGGGGGTGTTGCTTTGGGCAGGGGGGCTCCCCACCCCAAAAGAACCTTTTCCACATTCCCTGGCTGGTGGTTGTGGGGCTCTGAGGGTGGGGTTTAAACAAGGTGGCACCCAGATCCTGCCCCCCTATATGAAATGAGTATGCAGTACCCATTCACAAAAAAAAAAGTGTAATGTAAAAAAAAAGACAAGAAACAGTCTTTGACAAAGACTTTATTAAAAAATTAAAATGAACAAAAATGTCACCCAAAGTAGATTCCAACGTCAATCATGATGCCTGCCACCACTGCCAACCGAGAAAAGAAAAAAAAAATGCTGCGCCCTCGATGCTGGCTGCCGCTGTCTGACAGCTGCACCGCAATGACAGTTTCTTAAATAGGTTGATGACATCACAAGGGGCAGGATCATTACGCCCTGTGATTGGCCAAAGCATTGCACTTGATCTGTGGTCAGGTGCAATGCTTTGGCCAATGACAATGCACTGTCAGAGCGCAGTGCATTGTGGGGCGTGGCAGACAAATAGTCTGCCAAATGCCTGTACCATTTTGTGTGTTCAACGAACACAGGAACGGCCCATGTTTGAGTTGAAGTTACGTTACACAGCCCATCATTAATTAACACATGTACTAACAGTTGTGACCAAAATTATTCAACCCCCACTTGAAATTGAGTGTTTTGGCCAGTTTGACATTGCTTTTGATCATTCAGTCATCTTGCTTACATTTACATTAAAGAGCACTTTTGTAGGTCAGACAAATATAACATAACAGTTATAATGAAATAACCACAAATGTCTTTTCTGTGCTCACAGCATTATCAGTTTTATTCAACCCCCAAGTGACATTCAATCTTAGTACTTAGTACAGCATCCTTTTACAGTTATAACAGCTTTTAAACGTGAAAGCATAGCTTGACACAAGTGTCTTGCAGCGATCTACGGGTATCTTCGCCCATTCTTCATGGGCAAAGGCCTCCAGTTCAGTCACATTCTTAGGCTTGCGCACTGCAACTGCTTTCTTTAAGTCCCACCAGAGGTTCTCAATCGGATTTAAGTCTGGTGACTGCGATGGCCACTCCAAAATGTTCCAGCCTTTCCTCTGCAACCATGCTCTAGTGGACTTGGAGGTATGCTTGGGATCATTGTCCTGTTGAAAGGTCCCAACGTCTCCCAAGCCTCAGGTGTGTGACGGACTGCATCACGTTTCCATCCAATATCTCCTGGTACTGAAGAGAATTCATGGTACCTTGCACACGCTGAAGCCTTTCCCTGTACCTGCAGAAGCAAAACAGCCCCAAAGCATGATTGACCCTCCACCATGCTTCACAGTAGGCAAGGTGTTCTTTTCATCATAGGCCTTGTTCTTCCTCCTCCAAACATAGCGTTGATCCATGGGCCCAAACAGTTCTAATTTTGTTTCATCAGTCCACAGAACACTATCCCACAACTTTTTGTGGTTTGTCCACATGGCTTTTGGCATACTGCAGTCGACTCTTCTTATTCTTTGGAGACAGCAAGGGGGTACGCCTGGGAGTTCTGGCACGGAGGCCTTCATTACGCAGTGTGCGTCTTATTGTCTGGGGCTGAAACTTCTGTACCCACATCTGACAAATCTTTTCTCAGTTCCCTCAGCAGTCACACGGGGACTTCTCTCTCCACTCTACGCTTCAGGTAGCGCACAGCAGTCGAAGTCAGCATCTTCTTTCTGCCACGACCAGGTAGCGTTCAACAGTGCCCTTTGCCTTGAATTTGCGAATGATGCTTCCTAAGGTGTCTCTTGGTATGTTTAACATCTTTGCAATCTTCTTATAGCCATTGCCCTTCCTGTGAAGAGAAATCATCTCTTCTCTCTGTCTTCCTGGACCATTCTCTTGCCTTCACCATGTTTGTAACCACACCAGTAAATGTCTAGAAGGAGCTGAGTATCACAGTCATTTTAAAGCTGCCTAATTGGTGCTTATTATGCTTGATTGCTGCTCGGTGACATCCACAGGTGTTTTTTTCAATACCTGATGGAAAGCACCTGTATGAACCTCTGTTCTTCAGAGTGGTAGTCTTTAAGGGGTTGAATAATTGTGGCAATGAAGAAACCACATAAGAACCATTTACTACTGTTTACATAAACAATTGATGTCATTTTAGTTGCATTTGGGTAGTTACAACGTCCTTGTAGGATTTGATTCTGAATACAATTCCAAATGTACACTATAGTCCCTAAACCCCTTTTACAGCATTGGGGGTTGAATAATTTTGGTCACAACTGTATGTTAATCAGACTGCAGCATGTTTTAAACAGACCCGTAACCATGCTGCTTATTTCAACAGTCTTCCTTGTATATGCTAACAGTTGTATGCATGTTATCTTCCTGTAAAATCTTCCCTTGTGTAGACAGCCAAAAAGCTCTACGATTGTGCTTTTTAGAATTATTCTAAAGTCTCTTTAAAGCTCCACCCAAAAGGGGAAGTTCCGCTTTAAGCCTTTGTCCCCAGCTCCCCAGTAAGGATTGGCTACTTTGGGGATCGGGTACCCAAATTTGACAGGTACCTGCTCCCACTTCTGCTGCGATCGTCTAGCCCGTTCGGAAGCGGAACTTGTCCTCCCCTCCTCCCTCCCTGTAGTCTTCTGGGGCACGTGACAGGTCCCAGAAGACTATGTCCAGAAGGCCATTCACAAAGCGCAACACTTTTCGCACATGTGCAGTGGGAATCTGGCTGTGAAGCCTCAAACTGTCACAGCCGGGTGCCCACACTGAAGATGCCAGTTCCTGGGAGAGAAGATGGCTGGTGAAACCAGCGGTGGTGAAGACATCACTGGATCTTGGGACAGGTAAGTGGCTGTATTTTAAAAGTCAGCAGCTACAGTTTTTGTAGCTGCTGACTTTTTTTTTGGTGGAACTCCGCTTTAAGAATCAGTATTACTGCTCAGAATACTCTGTCCCATTCTGCAAACCTTTTGGGAGTCAGTGGTAAAGGTCCTTAGAAAAGCTTGTAACTTACAGTTGGGACTAGACCCCCAGAAATTATTGCTGGGAAAGGTTGACAATTTGGAGGTGAGCCGATATGTTAAACTATTTATCTTCTACATTGTGTTCTATGCACAAAGGGACTCTTGCTTTACTGGAAGCCAGCCTCCTCTCCTACCCTAACTGCTTAGAAGGCCACCATTGCTACAGGAAATGTGTTACATGTAGGATTACCAGGTGAAAATAAAGCTTGAAATAAAGAAAATGAATGCAGCCACCACACCAAGGACTAGTAATCTGCAATATGGTACATTTTTCAGATTGGGGT